AATAGTGAAGACTGAATGAAAACTGACATCAATATACAGAAACAGTGGATTTGTGTGTATTTTGTCATAAGCCTTAATCCTTGCTAACCTGTTAAATCAACTGCTACTAATGACAGCTGATTGTTTCCTGCAATCCTAATAACTTCATGTCTTTCTATTGCTTTGCAGCACTGACTATGACGTCTAGGAAGAAGCTCAAGAGTGATAGTCTGTATCTTTCTCTTGCTATGAAACACAGAAAATAGCTTTTACCATTTTACTTTTGCTATCACATAAAAGAAGTTTCTCCCTGTTTTTAGTTTTCTAATAACTTCTGAAAACCAGAAATAGATGGATTTCACTGATTTCTCAGCATTTATTAAAATGATACTATGTTTTGGTTTACTACAAAAATACATTTTTTTTTCTCAAAGTACTCTAGGAATAGCTACAGGAGGAATTAATTAGTGATCAGGAAAAATGATTCTGCTTATCAACTTTAGAATTTCATTCACTAATATTTGGTGCACAAATTTTTCATTGATTATCGCAAAGGAAGTAGATCTATGTACTTTTTCATATTCTTGTCAGCTCTGTTTCAAGATTAAATCATTATTGCACCATGAGGCGTGAATTGTTACTGTTTCTATTTTTCTTTTTTTATTGTGTGAGGTTAGACTGATTCTTCCTTGAATTGGCCAGTGAGGTCATCTGGAGCTGGCATACTGGAGTTAATTTCCTTTACAGTTGCATAAATATTCATGTTCTCTATGTTTTTTCCAGCACATTTTACCAGGAAAAAAACATTTTTCTAGGAATTTTCCTGTGCATCAGCTCTTCACATTTATTCATATGGGCTTAGACATGGTACTCCTTACTAGTGGTTTAATATCTGTACATTTACTGTGTTGAGGCGTCTTTTCAATCCCGATACCAGTGATGCCCCAATTTTGCCTGCCTTTTTACTCAATTTCATGAGAGATTTTTAAAACTTCACTGAGCTTTTCCAATAATCAATTTCTGCTAATCTTTCTCCTCCTACTGTATCTCCTTCCCAACTGGATTAATTTTCTTCCTAATCTTAATGTTTTCCTTCTGTTTGAGTCTATTTTATATTCTTTTAATAATGTTTTTAGAGATTAATTCCTGGCCTGTAAATTTTTATACTTTGTTTTCCAAAACACTTATGTTATATAGGTTTTCCAGCAAGTATTTCTTATAGGCACTTTACAGTTGCTATATGTAGAATTCTCATTAGCCTAAAAATATTCCTAATGGGTGTTATTTCTTTTTCAACCATGAAATTTTATTTCTAGCTCTATTTTTTGTTTTTCATTTGTAGCTTAATTTCATTGCATTATAATCTCAATTCCCCCAAAATAGTTTAACCTATTAAAACTTGCATATTAACTTAGAATACAGACAATTCTTACACATAGTCATATTGCATAAAAATGATACGAACTTTATGGCAGTTACAGGGGTCTACAAATGTACCTGAAATTAAATGTACTGTTTGTATTCATTTTGCCTATTTCAAAGGAAGAGACACAGAAAGAGAGAAAAATGAGAAGAAAATCTCACATTTAAGGTTCACTCCCCAAATGCCCCCAAAAGCCAGAGCTGGGCCAAGTTGAAGCCAAGAATAGGCCCTTAATCAAGGTCTCCCAGTGAGTGACAGAGGACTAAACATTCAAGGTCATCACCTGTTGCCTCCCAGAATGTTCAAATTAGGAACACACCCAGGATTCAAACCCACGCACTCCAAAGGAAGTCTTTACTACTACCCCAAGCACTGGCCCTGACATCAACTTCCTTAATCCAACCTTCACAGAAATTGTCACTGATCTATTTTATTGTAGTCAAGACTAAGAGAAGTAAGTCAGTATCATTGTTACTTTCATTTTCCTTGGAAGTTCTGTCCCATCTTCCCTCCAGTATTTTGAGATTATGTTACTAGAAGCATTCATACTTTAAGTTATTCTGTCTTCCTATTGAAGTGAAAATCGCAGTATAAAGAAAGAAATCTTCAGTAAAGGTTTGGGCTATATGTTCCTTAATGATGGATAAACAGTAGATGATGGATAAACACTAGTTGTCACAGTGTTCATGTAGTATTTGTTTTCTATTGTCATTTGTCTCTTACATGTGAAGGAAACTGAGGCAAACAGGTTAGGAGACAAATCCAACAGTAGACCCATGCAAGTCCCATATAGTCAGGAGCCCAACCTAAGGAGTCTGTCTCCAAAACCTTACTCCTAATACACACACCCTCCCTGCCCCTCGCCCCACCACCAACACAAAGAGAGTTAAAGTTTGAAGGAAATTGCTTTCACTGTAAAAATTCTACAAAGAATTTGATAGTTTCCTAATGTTGATTTTTTTTTCACTTTGCTATGTAGCTTAAAGTTACATTCTCACTCCCCTATTCTAAGGTATTATAATGCTGTTAAAAAGGGAAGAACATGTCAGATCTGTAACTGTGACACTAATCTTTCATGATACACAAGTAAGGAAAGCTTAGAATTTCACTTTTGAGATAAGCATGTGTAGCAGAAGTCAGCCCAGGATTCTCTGGTCCCAAGGCAGCACAGCACCTAAAACTATGAGCATCCAGAATAGGCAGGCAGGCACAACACACTCAGGCTTTCTGGATGGCTGTGTGGAACTTCCAAGAAGGAAGGCTAGTTCCTAGCCAACTTCAGGCCAAATAAATGGGAATGAGAGATGCAGGGTTATCGTGTCCCCTTGAAGAGACTTAACAAAGTTTTAACACAAAGAAGTACTAAGCAACTTACATACATCTGGTCAAATCCTATCCAGTTATTTCTCAAATTCTAATGTAAAATCAAACTTACTATAAAAAATTACAGACCATAAAGAAAACAAACTTCTCATGAGTCCATGTTTCAAAACCAACCATACTTTGCATTTATATATACATATGTATTCACCATATGCACATAAATGTATACATAGGTATGTAGCTATATATGCATGTACACATGGACTAGAAAATACACTGTATCTTTCATTTAGATTCTGGCTGGGTTCTTTTAACACTGCTCCATGAATAATTTTGGATAACCTTAATTTTTTTTAAATTGGTTTATGGTCTACATACTACCCTATCACATTACTATACTCAAATGCTTAAATGAAGTTTGTCTGCCTTGCTACTTCAAGTTAACTTTGCAGCCAACAGTAAGTTACAGCTGATTGGGATATCATATCCATTTTCTTACTCTTTCAGTATAAGAATTCCCCAAAGTTTATTTTCCAGAATAGTGACTGTATTTGCTAGCTCCTGTTGAAGAGTGGCATAGTCTTATGATGGTTTTCTCACCAACAATCTAAGGGGATGAGGGGTGGACATTTGTGTGAAACAATTGTGTGTGAGATGTTTTCTGTTTGCACTGTTTCCTTCCCGATGCTAGAAAACCAATTCTGAATATTCCACAATGGTAGGTGAATGTCACCTATGCAGATCCAAGTCCTAGGAAACTGACCCTTGCATAAACATTTGACCAGTTCTCAACTACACATGTACGATTCACTTAAAAGTACTGAACTGTATCTTTTTTGAATCTGCTATTTTAGATTCTTCATAACCAAACAGCTTCCAAATTAGTACAGTGGAAATGATGCCTAGAATACTTTGAACATGTTTAAGGTTTTTTTTAAAGAAACGTACAAAACACTTCCCGGAACGTTGAACAAATATAACCAGTTCCCAGCATTACTCAAAGTGTCCATATCCCCATGTTCCTGTCACAATATTATCATGGCAAATTACTTTTTTACTAAGCAAATAGTATAAGGCATAACTTCACAGTTCCTTTTACTAGCTTTTCTATTAGAACTATATACTTTAATATCCTGTTACTTTGTAAATCAGGACATCAGTTTATTCTTATATAGTCCTCATATTTGATGTTGTCCTATTTATTAGAAGTAGTCCAGCTTGTCAGCTGCCTTAAAATTTCATTCATACTGGTGTCTTTACTTGTGAAGTATGGAAGTTTCAGTTTTGTAATAATTCATTTCTGATTCATTCCACTTATGTTAACATAAAAATCCATTATTTATTATGCCTTATTCATACTGTTTCATTTGTCAGTGACAACATGAAGCTTTATGTATAAATAGTGTTATGTCATTATTTAGGATTTTGACAACTTTTAAGGAAAGTAGCAATTATCATAGATTATAAAGGATCCCATAAATATACCTAAAGTGCCAGAGATATAAGTCTCAAAGTCGTAACAGAATACTGAGAAAGTAAGTTTTGGGACAATAAGCAAGATGACCGCTTCTTTACTTTTTTTTTTTTTTTTAGCTATCAACAGGATTTTCATAGCAAACTTACTAGGAATGAATCTCTTCCTTTTTACTCCCATGAGATTTGGGATTATAAATTATAAAAGGATTTTCAACTCTAGGTCTATGGTCAAACTTTCAGTTCTCATTCCCAAGAGTACAACTTATTTGAAAAGACAAACAAGCATATCCTAAACATGCACATGGACAGATGATCATGAAATTTTTCTACCGACATTGCAAATTATTTGTTTGGCCTCGGCAAAAGTGCATTTTCTATGTGTCTATAGAAACCTACTCTGGAATATTTAATACCCTATGAAAATTTTTCTACAATGGGTGACCCACTGTGACTCAAAGTATTTCTTCCACAGCAACAACAAAAACGGCAACGCATTTTTGGGATACCATGTTATAGTGGAGATAAGAAGATTTTTGAAACTTCAAGAAAAGTGTATCTCAGTAAGAAAATGAATAGAAATGTCACTATGTTCCACCAGTTTAAGTACACTACCTTCACCGTGAGTCTGACAATTATAATTAGAGCCAGTTGCCAGACTGTACTATACTTTTATATGCTTGTTTTATATATTTCTGTGTATAAATTGAAAATAAGGCATATAAATTTCCATTTTTATGAAATAGTAAATACAGTAATCAATTTTTCAAAAAGGCATGTGTAATGAGTTTTATGAACATACCTTCTTTTTAATGAGTACCCTGCCCAAATACTCAGTTCAGCTTTCGGAATCTTACATGCAGACTCAAACTGGAATCGTGTCATCAGCAAGAGAGAACCTGGAAAAAAATAGAAGTGAACAATTCATAATGTATTGTTTTATTCAGTAAGTATAGCAACACAGAACTAGGACATTTGTAAGTTTTATTTTTAAAAAGGTGAAACTTACCTGTCAATTTACATAAAAGAATCTAGTTTATAGCAGAAGAGGGATTGTCTGGTTATTATTAAACTATCAGAATTAATCAAAAGACATACACATATTCTATTATGAACATCTATGTTAACACGAGAAGTTGTTCACTTAGTTTACATATAAATATCTCAAGCTGCTTAAAAGCAGTTTTTGTGTCTGACTATGAATTACAAGACAGGTGAAGCTGTCCTCTTGGATTTCTTTATTGAGCCCATTCAGACACGGATGCCAAGGACTCACAGCAATGACTCAGTACGTGTCCAGCCAACCCTCGTCCTCACTTGCAGCCAGTTAGCTTTCCTATTGTACTGCCTCACTCACGTTCAGAAATCCACTATCATGAGCAAATCAACTTCTGGCTTTGTTAGCTAATACCCCAGGCAGAACAATCATGAAAATCCTCTACCATCACACTAGTGAAGGACAGAACTTGTAAAGAGAGCCACAAATTCATTTCTTGTTAAGTCTCTCCATTGGTTTAATTTACAGAGACCTGAGTAATGTTTCAGTGTTCATTTGTATCATATCACTGGTTATTCAACTTAGATAGCCAAGTTCACATTATCTTTGATTACTATACCAAAGTATTATCACCGATTATAAGGGATCTCACAAATATACTTGAAGTGCCAGAGATATAAGTCTTAAGCTTGTAAGAGTAGAGTACTGAAAAAGAAAGTTTTAGAATAATATGCAAGATGGCTGCTTCTTCATTATTCTTTTAACTTATCAGCAGGATTTTCGTAGCAAACTAGGAATGGATCTCTTCCTTTTTAATCCTTTTTAATCAAACTACCATACTACCTCTTCTCAGAGTATTGCTGCTATGGAAAGACTATTTCTTCCTAGTATTAGAACCTTGGTTAGTAAGTACAGAATTTGAAAACTCACAATGGAGACAAAGAGTCCACATTATTTTAGCTCACTAATCATTCTATTGAAAATCCTCCCAAGGTGAGAAAAGCTACCACCAATAACTCTGAATGTAAGACATTTGAATGATAGCGTAAAATGGCAGGCTGTACACAATTAGGTATTACCTACTTTCATCAGCAGTTTCATGAAAATAATATATAACTTTAACTTTTTATCAGCTCGGTGAAATGTCACATGTGATTAATTGTGAAGAGATTAGCACAGTTGAAAGTATTTCAAAATGAAACAGAAATGTCAGTCAAGTATCTAGTTGACACAAAAATTCACAGGTGATCATTTTACCCACAAGAGGGAGCCTGTATTTTTATATTTTGCTTACAGATCCTGAAAAAACCAAATTAAAACATGAAATTCTAAAAAAATCTTGTTGATGCCATCATCTTTATGTTTGTTCAAATGCTGAATAATCATATTCCAACTGGTATATTTGTCAAATGTAACATACCCATGCACAAGATCAGAAAGATAATTTGAATTTTAAACCTTCCCTACCCACAGTAGAGCTTTTGTTTTTTCTGATAACACAATGAAGAGGTAACTGCAAAAGCAGCCTAAAAGGGAATACCTCTCAAGTGGTCATAGCATTCGTCATGTAGAAATTGACTGAAATTATTTTGAGTGGTCTGCCCCCAATTTAATTACATAGCAGTGAAAGAGGCTTCTATCCATCAGTAATTTTCTGTGTATTCACAGGATAGAAAACACAGTATTTCAAACTTGCCTAAGAAATGATACAACTGATACGACACCAGGATGGGGATGGGGCGAAGAAATTCTTATCCCGTGATTTCCAAACAACATCTTACATTGAGAGGACTCCGGGCTTCATGAAAGTAAAATGAATTCACCAACCTATAAGCCACCTTCTCCTAAAACTATCTGAAAAATGCCCCTCATCGCTGTGTGACGTGTTCTATCCCATTCAGAAAAGCATGGTAGTCACGAAGCTGAATTTTCTTTTCGGGCTCCGTGGAAACTGCAGGGAAGACAGATGACAAGTCCCTTCCCTTGTCCCCAGGGTCCTAGAGGACATTTTATGACACAGGCAGACAGTGGAGGAAAAAGGGGTTAATCACTGCTCTTCCTTCTGCAATCCCAACCTCTGCATTAAATCAGTTTTTTTCTGCCACTAGGGACTGTGAATCTAATGGACTTAAAATCAATACCTTATAAATGACATAAAAATATATTCATTTGGTGGACTCCTGTATCCTTGTGTCTGAATCCTGCTTACACCCTCTACTTTCAGAAGGGACAGCAGACCAACTTCTGCCAACAAAAGGTCACTCTTTCACCCTGGTGACATGCTGCAGTGCAGAACACACTGTCACACTGAAGTGCAGCCACATTGCCACTGTGCAAACTTTCAACGTGCTGTCAGGAGCTCCTGTGAAAGCCACCAATCAGGAAGGAGCAGGTAGGTAGCCAGGGACACACGTCTACTGGGAGGATGGATCTGGTTCAGGCTCTCACTCCTAAACGCACTCTCACTACGGAAAGTTTTCAGTGTACAAAACATTACATGACAACGCTGGGGGAAAAACACACACACACTCAACTTCAACCTTCACTTTGTGGTGCAGTTTTATAATGACTGGTAAGACTGAATCCCAAAATCCTAAGAGGCAGAAGTGCTCACCAACACACAAAGAGATCTTAGCCAAATCAACACTGTGTGAGATCAAGCCACCAAAAACAGGATAGATGTGCAGTTTGGGGAGATGGAGGTCTTTTCCTTTACCAGTGACAACAAGGAAACAAGCAAAGCAAGCCACTGTTGGCCTTTTTTTTCAAGCATATTGAGAAAACATGTGTATAACAAAGTCAGAGATGTGCAAAACCTCTCCCTATCCAAAAGAGCAATGTGCTTACTCCAAAAATCACTCTTGTCCCTTGGGAAGTATTATGGTTAGTTAAAAATAAATCATGTTAATTCATCATACATTGTAACTTTCAGGAGTATCTTCTTGTATCTTCGCTATTTTAAGACACAGCCAACTCTACCATTCCTGGGTACCTTCAATGAAAAGTATGTAGCAATAGAGAGGAGAGACAGAGAACACATGAAATACCAAAGCAGGACTTTACTCCTGCAATCTTATCACTGACTTACAGTCAGAGGATGAGAAATAAGAAAACCAGCCTTTAGAATTATTTTTTTTTCCATTTGACTACAACATTTTCCCCAGTACATTTTAGTGACTATGCAAGTGAGAAAGATTTAAGTTGCCACGATGTGAAGAGGGCGGGGGTTTGGGGACCCTCCTTCTAAATTAAATGGCTGGAAAGAAGAAAAAAAATGAAGAAAGAAAAGCACCATCAAGTCAAATACTTTGAAAGAATTCTAGCAACAGGTCAGCCTGAGATTTCCTGTTTAGTTTCACTGGCTTAAAATTCATATAGCCATAAAACAACAACAACAACAACCACCAAAAAAAAAAAACTGTTGTTCTCTATTCCATTTGCCAGAGTCATTTATCCCCTATTAGATAAAGTATAATAGACTCTACCGAAAGGGTCATTGGCCTTCCATTTAATGATATTGCCAGCCCCAATCTGCATTTTCCCGGCAATGTCCCTCAACACAGAATAAATGGCTGATCTCTTCACAATAACAGCTGATTTCTATTTATTAAGCTAAAAAGGTCACCATTTTCTACGGCTGGGCCGCCCTGCACTATTGATAATTTTATGCATAAACAAATGGCAAATTTGTGCCACATAAATATGCATTAGCAATTACTTTTTCCTCGGGCAACGCTCACCGCATGCAAATGTGTACCTCACAGGGCCTGGTAGCTTTTGTTTTAGCTCTTGAACAGAGAAACAAAAGAGCACAATAAACAATTTTAAAATCACCAATCAATAAGCCATGCAAATGCAAAGGTAAATGGCAAGAAACTTGCTGGGCAACAAGGAGACAGAAGGAAGGTGGAAGGGGGAAGGTGCAACGGTTTTCCTTTTTATATGATTGCATTTCTTTCTCTTTCCTAATGAAAAGGCTAAAGTACTCTTGACACGGAACAGCCAACAAGGATGGCATTGAAGCAGATGCCAGATGGAGACAGTAGAAAATACACCATGTTGAGTAAACACATACACACACAGATGATCTCAGGACAGCGGCAAGGAAGAAAGTGGGCTCCCCCCAACGGGACTGCAGGGTCGACCCCCACATAGATGGCCAACTGTCTATGTCAGAGATTAAGGGCATTTTAATATCAGGAGGAAAGCCAGACACATAACCAGCTCTCAACTGAACTGCAACCTGCTATGGTTTTGAATGACACCCTCAGGAAGTAGGTGGTCCTGAAGAACAGGCACAAAAAGGTTCAGTGGAAAATATACCAGGAAATTCCCCCAAAATCCATGCAAACAGAATTAAAAGATAAGCTCATCTGGGTGCAAAAAATGTGGACGACACACCACAAGGTAACTTGGAACTTAGAAGAAAAATGTATTATGGAAAAACTGCATAGATTTAAAGATTTTGTTTGAAATAAAGCTACAGAGAGAGGGAAAGAGTTCTGGTTTGCTGCTGTCCCAGAGCAATGGACTTGATACACGGAGCTGACAATAACACGCGTGGACTACTGAATGATGGTCAATAGCCAAAGTTTATTAGTGGCACCAGACTTTATACACTGAGGATCATATAGAAAAGGGAAGAACTACTGGGCTTATCAACAAAACCAATCAACTGTTTCTATACTTTTGTTTGGAACGCCTTTTGTTTTGTATATTCCACCAAGTGTTCTCATTCCACTCAACTGCTCTCATTACAAGTCATATACAATTAGTTATACAAAAGGTATCCATCCGCTTATCATACAAACACTATCCAATCAATTGTAATCCTGTGCTCGCTGACCTTCTAGGGTCACAATGTTCTCCAATGTCCAAATGGCCACACAGCCAGGGTTGGGGCAGGCTGAAGCCAAGTGCTTCTTGTAGGTCTCCTACATGACTGGCAAGGACACAAGAATTTGAGCCATCCTCTGTTGTCTCCCAGGCACATTTATAAGGGAGCTAAATCAGAAGTGCAATAGCTGGGGCTTGACCTGGTGTCCATATGGAATGCCAGTAATCCAGGCAGTGGCTTAAGCTGGTACCAACACCAGCCCCTAATTCCATTTTTTGACTTTTCTGAGGTCACCTCATATAAGTAAGAAGTAAAAAAAAAAGTATCTCCAGAAATGTGTAGTCACAGAGCTACACAGAGTGTTCACAAGCAAGTGATGAAGAGTGGTGAAGACATTAAAATCTAGAGACAGGAAAACAAGTTACCTAATTACACAAAAGCAAATGATTAACATACGACAAAAGTTAGAATGTGTGTAAGGTTTCTTTGTCACTATAGGGAGAAGAGGGAGGAGAATAGAAAGGGGGTAAGGAGAAATCCCTTAACTTTATCATGAAAAATGAAAATTAAAACAGATTTCACCATCTATTTACTGAGCACTGCCCCAGGCTCTCAGATTCATTTTATCTTTACAAAACTCACTCTAACCTGGCTCAGCGTTTGCTGCTTCCACTTCATAGCACAGAAACACAAAGAAGCTGAGGTTATCATTTAAGGTAGAGATTCATCTCAGCCTTGCCCACATCTGTTGTCTGCACCAGCAAGCATCACTGCGTTTCAAACGGCCATCAACTCCTTAAAACCCTCCATGTTGACATCATTGTAAAAAAAAAAAAAGAACAATGTCTTCCTAAACACATAGAGGCTTAGCAGAGTCATAAATAAGTCAAACTGCATTTAAAAAATTTAAATCTAGGGTTTAGGTGCATTTCTTTGATCAAGTTATTAAAATACTTTCACTTCTATAAAATGTACATATACCAATTTACATGTGGGCATGAGTGTTCCTTAGTTACGAATGCACATACTCAGAGAACATGCCATGCTCTTAATAATCATTGGAAGCCAGAAAAACACTTTCTGATCCCCATTTTGATCTGAAAATAATTAAAGGTTTTACTATTACACAAAGAATTAACAAGCCTTAACCACAGACTTATAAAAATAAATACATATTATTGGCCTAAAAACCAACAGGCAAACCTGGAAATCTAAAGTCAGTACATGATCTGTCTTGCTCAGAGTCAGGAGACAGTTTAGGAAAGATGCTTACAACCTTGATACAGGGACCAAGAACCAAAATAGTTCCAGCCTGGGCCCAGTGCAGTAGCCTAGTGGCTAAAGTCCTCGCCAGGCATGTGCCGGCATTCAGAAAATATACACATACACAACAATATATGATGTCCATCAGAGAGAGGGCAGTTTACCTACAGGGCAGTTAGTGGCTGATACCAACACACTACCTTCTTCAGAGATTACTTCAGAACTCACTTCCTGGTTTAAGACCAGCACACACAGATTTAGATCTAACAGCCATCTCACACATTAATTTGAATAAATATGTAGTGCATGTAAGCTGGTTGGTGTATAAATTTGAGTATTATTTTTCATATGACATAAATGGTACGTCACAAATCGTTACTACCTAACACACCAACATTATCATCATTCCTGGTACAATTCCCATTACAATGCAAGGATTTCAAACTGAAGCCATGAATATTGCAGCCCAAGTGGTGTTTGCATGAAATCTGTAAATAACGGCAGCGCACAGGAAATGTGTTCAAGGTTGTCGTAGCCTCCAAAAGCCTAATGTGAATTTCATAGTCAGAGGTGGGGTCAAAAATCATACTGCACATCCTCAGCCCTACTCCTACAGCATCAAAATTAAAGGAGATACTCATAAAGTCCGAGAAAGAAGGGCCTTGGAGGCATGGCTGTTGAATTAGTGCCTCAATAACTGGGGCTTAGGGTCTGCCAGCCCTTCTTTGCCTACCCCCTGCTTTGTTTGGCAAACTCCTCTAGCAGTCAGCTTCGAGTTGAGTCGCACTGCAAGAAACAGATCCAATAAAGCTTTCAAAGTCAGGGGCTAGATGGGAGGAAGTAGTAAGGTGGGTGTCTGCAGGCAAGGCAGATTGGCTGTGCCTCTTCCATTTATTTTTTTTTTAAAGTGTATCTTGAAAAAACTAACACTCAGAAACATAGAAATAGACTAGGAAAGCAAATTGTCATCAACCATCTCCAAAGCTCAACAACCACGAACCTTCTGTTGTTTGAAAATCCCCCTCCTTCCACTGTCAAGGGTCACTGGCAGCAGTCTCTACTCGGCTGCACCACGTGTTCTTGGCTTCTGCCCATTCATGTTAGTAGCCTCAGTTTCCCCTGGTGGAAGGAACTTCTGGGCAACCTTCCATGCATCTTTAAAACAATGAGATTGGGACCTGGCATCGCACTGCTGCAGGTGAAGTCACTTCTTGGGATGCACACATCCCCTAAGAGAGCACTTTGTTCAAATCTCAGCTTCTCTATGCCTCCATTCTAGCTTTCTGCAAACTCACCATGGGGGCAGCAGGTGGCAGCTCCAAAAACTAAGACCACCTGCCACACATGGAAGGTGAGTTCCTGGCTTTTGTGGAAATATGGGGAATGAGTCATAAGCGGGACATCTCTCCTGCTTCTCTCCATAGTCTCCTCTCCCTTTCGTTGTGTCTCCTCTCCTTGTCTCTCTTCGCACCCATGCTTCCCCGCCCTCTCATGTGTTTACTTTAAAGATAAATATGCATTAAGTAGAGTGATTTCAGTCTTCCTGCTCACACCTTGATCATATGCTGTTTATTTGTTTCAAGTGATATCACTTGTTGGCAGAACCATTATGTATCCCATATTTCATAGCCTCATTGAACTAGGTCAACCATGAGGCTCTTTCAACAATATGAAGTGCAGGATGTGGCTCTGATATCAGTTATGCCCTAAATATGGCTCCCCACAGGCAACATCCACAGTTTTCTTAAACAAAGATCTATTTGTATCGGAAAAGCGGGTTTTACAGAGAGAAGGATGAGAGAAACATCTTCCATCTGGTGGTTCACTCCCCAAGTGAAGTGGCTGGAGCTGAGCTCATCCAGAGTCAGAAGCCAGGAGCCTCTTCTGGCTCTCCCACATGGGTGCAAGGTCCCAAGGCTTTAAGCCATCCTCAACTGCTTTCCCATGCCACAAGCAGGGAGCTGGATGGGAAATGCAGCAGTTGGGGCATGAACTGGTGCCCATATGGGATCCTGGTGTGTGCAAGGTGAATATTTAGCTACTGGACTATTGCACCAGGCCTATCCACAGTGTTTGCATGTGCAACATATTAACAAAGCAACAGTGAGTCTGTTCCTACTCAATGTTCTCTGCCCTTTCTACTACTGACTCAATCTGTGGGCCAACAAAC